CGAATCGTGGAGGCGGCGTGATCTTTCTGCTTCAGCGGATACGCCCACATTAGCCTGCTCCAGTCATCCACTATGGTTAGGAAGTACCGCTCCCCCTTGTGCCCTTGCACCGGCAGTGGCCCCACCAAGTCCATGTGGACCAGCTCCAACGGCTTTTTGCTCCTGCCGGCCACACTATGGAAGGGGAAACGGGTGAACTTTGAAAGGAGGCAAATTTCACAGTTATCATCGGGTGGTTGTCCGTTCAGCTTCAAGCCCTTAACGGCTCCACCCTTCTCCAGCTCCTTCAGCAAAGGCATTGCCACATGCCCCAAACGTCGGTGTGCAGTTGCCCGATCCGTCTCCCCAGATCTGGCCGATACTTTCACACCAACCCCTCCAACGGCATTGCATTCCCCCTGGGATGCAGACCCCTCTCCAGCCTGCCCCCCACCGTGCCATGCCAGCGCCGGCAGCTGCCACATGGATCTGTACACGTCCGTATTCTCGTGCAGATCCCAAAGCACCCGATTGCCCAGCTGCCCTTGTAAGTGCGTGCCCCATTCGTGCTAGTGCTCACCCCAGACTTGCCAAGTTTACGGAGGGAGATGAGGTTGGCCTTGAGATCAGGAACAAGAAGAACGTCGTGCAGCACCACCGGCTTGCCATCCGCTCCCTTCAATGCAGCTCGTCCCGCACCAGCCACCTTCAGCGCGTGTCTAGAGGCGGAGCACACCTCGTTGATCGGAGCAGCTCGTACGTCGTCCAGCAGGTCTTTTCGCGGCGTCATCGTCCAAGCAGCGCCCGTGTCCAACACCCAATAATCCAGGGGGTGCAGCTCTGCTCCAACCTTGGCAGAGGCGTCTCCTTGCTCCCCCTTGTCTCCCACATGGAAGAATTGGCCCGCAGTGCGCTCCTTCTTCTCCGCACCGCCGTTGCCCTTCGGGTTGTTGTCGGACGAATCAGCGACCATGTTGGCGCCGTTTTTCTGGTTCCTCCGCGCGCCGCCATCCTGGTGACGATTCAGGGGGGTCCATCCATCGGGTTTCTTATAGCACAAAAACCAGGGGTGCCCTTCCTTCTCACAATACCAGCAACTCCCTTTCATTTTGCCACCAGCACCCGACTTGCCCCCACGTCCAGATTTCGCACCGCGACCCCAACCGGTACCTCCTTGTTGGTCGTTGGAGTCGTCGTCTTTCTTTGCACCGCGTCCAGCACCACCGAAGCCATGTCCTTTGCCACGTCGGCTCCCTTGCATCCCGTAGCCGCTGCTGCCGTCGTCTCCACCCCTCAGTTGGCGGCGACGGAAGTCCTCCTCCAGAATCTTCGTCCGCACCCACTCGAGTGTCCACAAGCTCTGGTTCTGCGGCAGGCTCAATCCGCTCGTGAATTGAAGCCACGATTCCGGCAGCAGCGAGAGCATCTTCAGGCACTTGGTCTGCTCCGGGTAGGTGATTCCCGCGATCGCCAGCTCAAGACGGCTGCGGATGACAAGACGGCACCCTCCGCTCAACCTCCCCCAACCGTCCCACCCCCCTTTGATGTTGAGTGCAAATTCACATTGCACGACATCCTGCCGTCTGTTTGTACGAGTATGCGTGTGCGAATGCATTTGCGTGTGACTAGTATGTTCGTGTGTTTGTTTGCTTTCGCAATTTTCGCTTGAAGCATTTGTAGGTACTCGCACAATGTGCGCTTCGGCATAACATTGTACGCGCTATGAACAGTACAAGCAGAAAGGACGAGCTCGCAAAGGAACCCAAGATGGAAGCTTTGTGGTTCGGCTTACTTGATTGCGCAGATTCAGTTCTATCCAACTCGAAATTGTACTGTTTTGTTTGGTTGACTATAGTGTAGCAAGGCAGGCACTATAGGGGTACAATTTAGGTGAAGGTTGGATGTTGTTTGTCTGTATCTGCATGCTACAGGGCCAGGGGAAAGCAGCGGAACCAGCATTTGGCTGGTTGGGCACAGACAAAACAGGTTCTGTTTTTAGGACCTGAACCTGGTTGTTGTTTTCCCAGGTTGGAAAAACAGAACCAGAGGTTGTTCACCAACCTACCACCTGCTATTTTGTCCAGCCAGGTTGGTTCTGTTGCTTGGAATTATTTGGGATCATCCCTGGTTGTTCCCAGGTTGATTCCCAAGGTCCTTGCTAGCTAGAGCTATTTATTCCTTCTCTGTTTGTACCTGAATATAGTGAAATTGATTCAAGCGAATTCCTCCCTTCCTGGAATTTCCTTTCTACGCGGTGCGATGGCGGAATGCTACCCGAGTCAACGCTAGTACGCTAGCACTCCAACGCTAGGCTAACGCTGTCCGAGCCATAACTTCGTAATGGCAGAACTTTTCGCGAGGCAACTTGGCTTATTTTAAAGCTCTTAGAGTGAGCTTCGATCTAGTAAATTCTCAGCTTAATCCGATCGATGGTCTGCACGATACGCTGCGCGACGTTCAAGGTACTCTTGCTGTTTTGACTAAGTCCCTCTTGATCCCTCTCTCTACAAACTCGGACCCGAGGATAGGGGCTGGTCTTGTACCAGGCACCCAAGGACCCTTGGAGGTGACCCCGAGGAGAGGTTTTAAGTGTGATAAAGTCTTAATAGCTTGAGTCTATTAGGCCCTTACACCAACAAGTTGGTATCAGAGCTGCGTTATAGTGATCCTCGATATAGGTAGCTATGGCGGGGAACACCTCGGCGGTAGTTGGTGAATCTTCAGCCCAAGATCGTAGCGGCAGCCATGATTCTGGTGTTTCTGCGCCAAGGGGAGCGCGAACAAGCCAAGGCTCGCTGATCAAGGAGGTGCTGAAAAACTTCACCGTCGAGAAGTTCAATGGTGAGGGCTATGATGATTGGGCCTGGAAAATGCAACTTTATTTCCGTCAGATCGGATTGCTGAAACTAATGATTGGGGAGGAGCCTAGACCGAGTGACCCCGCCCTTCAGGAAGATTGGGACGAGCGCGCCTCGGCTGGCTACTACTTGATGTCGCAGAGTTTGGAGCTGAACCAGCGTCACCACGTCATGCACCTGCTGCCGGAGGTTGAGTGCGGTCCGAAGGCGTGGACGGTGTTGAAGGAGCTGCACGCCCCTACCTCCGTCGCTGCGACGCTCATGATGGAGAGGGAGCTGTCCGCGTTGCGCCTAAGCGAGGGAGAGCCGGTGCAACCTATCCTGGACAAGATGCATGATCTCTACGCGAAGTTGGCGACCGCGGGAATCACCTACCCGGAGCAGACCAAGTGCCTGAAGATGCTCTCGCTGCTGCCGGAATCGTGGCTTCAATTCACAAGCGGATTGAGCCTGCCGCAGAACCAGAGCTTGTGGACGCTCGAGTGGGTGCGGACGAAGATTCTGGAGGAGGACTTCCGTCGCCGCCAACTGAGGGGTGGAGACGACGGCAGCAGCGGCTACGGGATGCAAGGGAGCCGACGTGGCAAAGAACGTGGCTTCGGTGGTGCTGGACGCGGTGCAAAGAAAGACGACGACTCCAACGACCAACAAGGAGGTACCGGTTGGGGTCGCGGTGCGAAATCTGGACGTGGGGGCAAGTCGGGTGCTGGTGGCAAAATGAAAGGGAGTTGCTGGTATTGTGAGAAGGAGGGGCACCCCTGGTTTTTGTGCTATAAGAAACCCGATGGATGGACCCCCCAGAATCGTCACCTGGATGGCGGCGCGCGGAGGAACCAGAAAAACGGCGCCAACATGGTCGCTGATTCGTCCGACAACAACCCGAAGGGCAACGACGGTGCGGAAAAGAAGAAGGAGCGCACCGCGGGCCAATTCTTTGATATGGGAGACAAGGGGGAGCAAGGAGACGCATCTGCTAAGGCTGGAGCAGAGCTGCACCCCCTGGATTATTGGGTGTTGGACACAGGCGCTGCTTGGACAATGACGCCGCGCAAGGACCTGCTGGACGACGTACGAGCTGCTCTGATCAGCGAGGTGTGCTCCGCCTCTGGACACGCGCTGAAGGTGGCTGGTGCGGGACGAGCTGCGTTTAAGGGAGCAGATGGCAAGCCGGTGGTGCTGCACGACGTTCTTCTTGTTCCTGAACTCAAGGCCAACCTCATCTCCCTCCGTAAGCTTGGCAAGTTTGGGGTGAGCACTAGCACGGATGGGGCACGCACTTATAAGGGGAAGCTGGGCAATCGGGTGCTTTGGGATCTGCACAAGAGCAAGGACGTGTACAGATCTATGTGGCAGCTGCCGGCGCTGGCGTGGCACGGTGGGGGGCAGGCTGGAGAGGGGTCTGCATCCTAGGGGGAGTGCAACGCCGTTGGAGGGGTTGGTATGAAAGTGTCGGCCAGATCTGGGGTGAGAGATTGGGCAACTGCACACCGACGTTTGGGGCATGTGGCAATGCCTTTGCTGAAGCAGCTGGAGAAGGATGGAGCCGTTAAGGGCTTGAAGCTGAACGGACAACCACCCGATGATAACTGTGAAATTTGCCTCCTTTCAAAGTTCACCCGTTTCCCCTTCCATAGTGTGGCTGGCAGGAGCAAAAAGCCGTTGGAGCTGGTCCACATGGACTTGGTGGGGCTGCTGCCGGTGCAAGGGCACAAGGGGGAGCGGTACTTCCTAACCATAGTGGATGACTGGAGCAGGCTAATGTGGGCGTATCCGCTGAAGCAGAAAGATCACGCCGCCTCCACGATTCGGGACGATTGGCTGCCGTTCGTGGAGAAGCAAGCGGAGTGTGTGGTGAAGCGGATTAGGACAGATCGGGGTGGTGAGTTCCTTGGAGCTGAGATGACGGCCTGGCTCAAGAAGCAGGGCATCCAGAGGGAGCTGACCACGGCTTACACCCCACAGTCCAACGGTGTAGCAGAACGGGCGAACCGGACAATTCTGGAGACAGCTAGGGCGCTGCTCATAGAATCTGGGCTGGGCAACTTGATGTGGCCCCATGCTGTTCGGCACGCTACCGTCGCTAGAAACAGGGTACTCACAAAGGTTGGGGATGACTCGTGGGTGCCGTTGGAGAGGTGGCTTGGGAGGAAGCCACCGGTGGACATGCTGAGGGTGTTCGGTTGCATGGCAGTCGCCCACGTCCCCAAGACCTACCGCAGTAAGTTGGGGGCGAGTGCAATCTGGTGTGTGCATTTGGGGCTGGCTGCTGAGAGCAAGGGATGGCTGCTGTGGGAACCTTCCAAGGGTGTGTTGTTTGACAGCAGGGATGTGAAGTTTGTTGAGGGCATGATGTATGGGAGCTGGGAGAAACAGCCGGAGGCCAGGGTGTCCCAGCAAATGGAGCAGATCACCATGCAGCTGGACCTGACTCCTAGTGTGTGGGAGGAGGGAGAGGAGGCAGCTGCAGAGGGTGGTGATAAAGAGAAGGTGCAGGAGGCACCTGCTGGTGGAGGTGATGGTGTGGAGACTAGCGGTAGCACTAGTGGAGCTGCTGGATCCGAGGGAGGAGAGCAGCAGCAGGGAGCTTCCATCTTGGGTTCCTCTGCGAGCTCGTCCTTTCTGCTTGTACTGTTCATAGCGCGTACAAATGTTATGCCGAAGTGGTGGCGAGAATGGAGGTGTCAGTGGCAGCAGTGGAGGCGGAGGAAGCGGCGGCGGTGGCGGAGGGAGCGGAGGCGGCGGAGGTGGCGGAGGCGGCGGAGGTGGCGGAGGCGGCGGAGGTGGCGGAGGCGGCGGCAGCAGCGGTGGAGCTGGTCGCGGCTCTGCGCAGTGGAGTGGGTCCGGTGGTGGTCCGTGCCAGCAGCAGCAGCGCAGTCGTGAGACCCTGTCCCCTCAGCAGCTTTGTGAGTGGTACGCTACGCGTCAGCGCGGTGAGGGTACTGGTCCCTGCACCTACGTCCTCCGTACCGGCGACCGCGCTGGTGAGCAGTGCGGGGGCCCGCACTCCACCCAGCGCTGCTTCGGCCGACTGACGGACGCGTGGCATCACCAGTTCCCTGAGGCCTCTGAGATCCCTCGCTGGGGAGAGCTGTCTAGGGCGGGGGTTGCTATCTTTGATCTTGATTATGATGCTATTCTTGCTGCCATGTATGCTGTGTCTGATAGTGTTGAGGGTGACTATTACCTGTGTGTTCCGCCTGACCCGGGCATTGAGGCTGCTGCTCTAGGTGCTGGTGAGGCTGCTGCTCTAGGTGCTAGTGCGTTTGCTGCCCCAGGTGGAGGTGAGTCTGCTCTCTCAGGTACTACGTCGGCTCAGGCCTTACACACCTTCACCCTTGACTCGGGTGCTTCCCGCTCCTTATTTTGAGACCGCACCACGCTTACGCCGCTTAGTCCGCCGGTTGCGGTCTCCCTGGCGGACCCCTCTGGGGGTCCTGTCCTTGCTAGCTTCTCCACTGTCTTACTGTGCCCGGCAGCCCCCTCTGGCACACTGTCAGGTCTCTACCTCCCCTCGTTCTCTACAAACTTGGTGAGTGGAGCTGATCTACAAGATAGGTGGGTTGACCAGTTCACTCCTGCGAGTCAGCGGGTGACCCACTGCACGTGTGCTCGGACAGGCCGACACTTGGCCACGTTCACCCGTCGGCCGGGGTCGAGCCTGTACACACTTACTACTGAGTCTGCTCCAGGTGCTGAGTCTGGTCAGGTAGCTGCGTCGAGTCAGGTGTTTGCTGCAGCGTTCAGGTCTGGTCCTGAGTCTGCTCCCTGCTCGTGTCGTCTCCTGTCCCACCAGACCCTCCTTTGGCACCACCGCCTTGGTCACCCCTCCCTGCCTCGTCTCCGAGGCATGGCCTCCCGTGTCCTTGTCTCTGGTCTCCCCCGGTCTCTCCCTCCCCTACCTCCGGGGCCTGCCCCTACCTGCGTCCCTTGCGTCAAGGGGCGACAGTGCGCCGCCCCTCACTCCTCCGAGTTTCGTCCGACAGAGGCTCCGCTGCAGACTCTTCACATGGACGTGTGGGGCCCCGCCCGCGTCCGTGGCCAGGGGCACGAGCGTTACTTCCTGTTGGTGGTTAACGACTACTCGCGTTACACCACAGTCTTCCCCTTGCGCAGCAAGGGTGACGTCACTGAGGTGTTGATCGACTGGATCCGCGCAGCTCGTCTCCAGCTCAGAGAGAGTTTCGGCTCGGACTTTCCTGTTCTGCGTTTGCACTCTGACAGAGGCGGGGAGTTTTCCTCTGCCCATCTGGGAGCCTTCTGTCGAGCACAGGGCATCCGCCAGACCTTCACACTTCCGGCCTCTCCACAGCAAAATGGGATTGCTGAGCGCCGCATTGGCAAGGTCATGGACGTCGCTCGTACGTCCATGATCCATAAGGCTGCCCCCCATTTTCTGTGGCCGTTTGCGGTTCAGTACGCAGTGCATCAGCTCAACCTTCAGCCCCGGGTCTCCTTGCCAGAGACCTCCCCCACCTTGCGGTGGACCGGGAAGGTTGGCAATGCGTCTGCGTTTCGGGTCTGGGGATCTCGGGCGTTTGTCTGCGACTTGTCTGCGGACAAGGTGTCCCCCCGTGCTGTTCCCTGCGTCTTCCTTGGCTTCCCCCCTGACGCGTCTGGGTGGCAGTTTTACCACCCCACCTCGCGCCGTGTTCTGGCCTCCCAGGAGGTCACCTTTGACGAGTCGGTGCCTTACTACCGTCTCTTCCCCTACCGCACGGCGCCCCTCCCCCCGCCGCCGCTCTTCTTTACGCCAGGTCCTCCCCCGATAGACCCCTTCCCCCCTCAGGGTCCTGCCCCGTCAGGTGTGTCCCACGTAGACGTAGTCGAGCCTGTCGAGGTAGCTGCTGACTCTGGTGCTGTTAGAGGTGCTGAGCCTGCGGGTGTCGGGTCTGGAGGTGCTGAGCCTGGGGGTGCTGAGTCCAGGGGCGTGGATCCTGGGGGTGCTGAGCCTGGGGGTGCTGAGTCTGGGGGTGCTGAGCTTGGGGTGCTGAGTTTGGGGGTGCTGAGCCTGGGGGTGCGGAGACTGGGGGTGCTGGGTCTGCTCGTGTGGCCTCTCGTGGTGCTTTGTCGAGGCGGGAGCCACTCTCTCCGCAGGAGTTGCGCGAGTTGTTTGCCTGGCGCTGGAGCCGTGCTGCTGAAGCTGGAGGTACTACTGTTGCTGCTGGTCCCGGAGGTGCTCGTACTCGCGGTGCTGGAGCTGCTGGTACTGGGGGTGCTGCTGGGGCTGCTGGAGTTGGTCCTGCTGGAGGTACTGCTGGAGCTGCTGGCAACACTGGAGCTGCCGGTTCTGCTGGAGCTGGAGCTGCCGGTTCTGCTGGAGCTGGAGCTGCTAGAGCTGAAGCTGTTGGGGGTGTTGGCGCTGGTCGTTCTGCTGGCGCTGGTGCGTCTGAGGGTGCTGGTGTTGGCGCTGTTGGAGTTGGAGGTGCTACTGGCGGTGGAGCTGCCGCTGGGAGTACTCGTGCTGTCCCTACTGAGTCTGGAGGCACTGCGCGGCCGCGGCCGTACTTCGTTCCGCTCCTTGAGCAGGTTCTTGGTCTCTTGCTCGTCTTCTGTTCTCGGCTCCAGCTGTGAGGCTGAGATCTACGCGGCGGCCATGGCTGCACAGGAGCTACGCTGGCTCACCTACCTGCTGACTGACCTAGGAGAGCCGTCTCGTTCTTCTCCAGTTCTGTACGTAGACAACAAGGCCATGCTGGCCTTGTGTCAGGAGCACAGACTGGAGCACATAACGAAGCACATTGCTCTCCGCTACTTCCTTGCTCGTGAGCTGCAGCAGCGTGGTCAGCTGCGTCTTGCTTACGTTGCCTCTGAGGCCAACATTGTTGATATCTTTACCAAGGCATTTCCGCCTGGTGATCAATAGCGCTTCTGTACTATGCTAGGTCTTGTGCCTACTTGGCCTCACTTGCTCACTTCTTGACCTTGCTTGTACTGTGATCTTTCTATACCTGCACTTGCCTGTTTACCTTTATATATGATCTTGCATGTGAACTGGCCTTCTGGCCTTGCTCTTGTGCTCAGATTGTGTGGTGACGTTGTGATCCACCCTGAGCTTGCTTTGCTTTGCTTGACTGGTCTTATGACCTCTTGTTCTCCCCCACTTGCTTATCATATAGCTTGTCTAGGCTATAGTGGGGTAGACACTATGGGGTACAGTTTCCTAGGGTTTCCTACTTGTACCCAACCTTGTGCTAGTTCATTCATTCCTCGTTTCTTCACATCACAATGAATCGACGGACGTCGGTGTCTCTTCCATTCGGATTGAACGTCTCCGGTAGCCTGGGACGTGCCGCCTCAAGATTGACTGTAGCTTCTGTCGCTGCTGCTGCTGCTGCTGCTGCTGCTACCGTCGCTGTTGCATTCGCTGCTACGTTCGCTACTGCTGTGGCGGCTACCAACTCGTTCGCGAGAAGCTCCTCTATTCGGTGGAGTGCCGCTCGTGTCTGGTCCAGGCCGGTGTGTAACTCCGTAATTTTTCGTATTGAATTATCACCGTTTTCCTCCATTTGGCAATTTACAGGAAGATTTGCGACGAAAATAAATGAATTTAGGTGCTGGGGTGCGCCTTCCTTTCAGCACCACAACGAATCCATCGGTGCTTGAACTTTTTTCGTATGGAATTATCACCGTTTTCCTCCATTTGGCAATTTACAGGAAGATTTGCGACGAAAATAAATGAATTTAAGTGAATCAAGGAGGTGCTGAAAAACTTCACCGTCAAGAAGTTCAATGGTGAGGGCTATGATGATTGGGCCTGGAAAATGCAACTCTATTTCCGTCAGATCGGATTGCTGAAACTAATGATTGGGGAGGAGCCTAGACCGAGTGACCCCGCCCTTCATGAAGATTGGGACGAGCGCGCCTCGGCTGGCTACTACTTGATGTCGCAGAGTTTGGAGCTGAACCAGCGTCACCACGTCATGCACCTGCTGCCGGAGGTTGAGTGCGGTCCGAAGGCGTGGACGGTGTTGAAGGAGCTGCACGCCCCTACCTCCGTCGCTGCAACGCTCATGATGGAGAGGGAGCTGTCCGCGTTGCGCCTAAGCGAGGGAGAGCCGGTGCAACCTATCCTGGACAAGATGCGTGATCTCTACGCGAAGTTGGCGACCGCGGGAATCACCTACCCGGAGCAGACCAAGTGCCTGAAGATGCTCTCGCTGCTGCCGGAATCGTGGCTTCAATTCACGAGCGGATTGAGCCTGCCGCAGAACCAGAGCTTGTGGACGCTCGAGTGGGTGCGGACGAAGATTCTGGAGGAGGACTTCCGTCGCCGCCAACTGAGGGGTGGAGACGACGGCAGCAGCGGCTACGGGATGCAAGGGAGCCGACGTGGCAAAGAACGTGGCTTCGGTGGTGCTGGACGCGGTGCAAAGAAAGACGACGACTCCAACGACCAACAAGGAGGTACCGGTTGGGGTCGCGGTGCGAAATCTGGACGTGGGGGCAAGTCGGGTGCTGGTGGCAAAATGAAAGGGAGTTGCTGGTATTGTGAGAAGGAGGGGCACCCCTGGTTTTTGTGCTATAAGAAACCCGATGGATGGACCCCCCAGAATCGTCACCAGGATGGCGGCGCGCGGAGGAACCAGAAAAACGGCGCCAACATGGTCGCTGATTCGTCCGACAACAACCCGAAGGGCAACGACGGTGCGGAAAAGAAGAAGGAGCGCACCGCGGGCCAATTCTTTGATATGGGAGACAAGGGGGAGCAAGGAGACGCATCTGCTAAGGCTGGAGCAGAGCTGCACCCCCTGGATTATTGGGTGTTGGTCACAGGCGCTGCTTGGACAATGACGCCGCGCAAGGACCTGCTGGACGACGTACGAGCTGCTCTGATCAGCGAGGTGTGCTCCGCCTCTGGACACGCGCTGAAGGTGGCTGGTGCGGGACGAGCTGCGTTTAAGGGAGCGGATGGCAAGCCGGTGGTGCTGCACGACGTTCTTCTTGTTCCTGAACTCAAGGCCAACCTCATCTCCCTCCGTAAGCTTGGCAAGTCTGGGGTGAGCACTAGCACGGATGGGGCACGCACTTATAAGGGGAAGCTGGGCAATCGGGTGCTTTGGGATCTGCACAAGAGCAAGGACGTGTACAGATCTATGTGGCAGCTGCCGGCGCTGGCGTGGCACGGTGGGGGGCAGGCTGAAGAGGGGTCTGCATCCTAGGGGGAGTGCAACGCCGTTGGAGGGGTTGGTATGAAAGTGTCGGCCAGATCTGGGGTGAGAGATTGGGCAACTGCACACCGACGTTTGGGGCATGTGGCAATGCCTTTGCTGAAGCAGCTGGAGAAGGATGGAGCGGTTAAGGGCTTGAAGCTGAACGGACAACCACCCGATGATAACTGTGAAATTTGCCTCCTTTCAAAGTTCACCCGTTTCCCCTTCCATAGTGTGGCTGGCAGGAGCAAAAAGCCGTTGGAGCTGGTCCACATGGACTTGGTGGGGCCGCTGCCGGTGCAAGGGCACAAGGGGGAGCGGTACTTCCTAACCATAGTGGATGACTGGAGCAGGCTAATGTGGGCGTATCCGCTGAAGCAGAAAGATCACGCCGCCTCCACGATTCGGGACGATTGGCTGCCGTTCGTGGAGAAGCAAGCGGAGTGTGTGGTGAAGCGGATTAGGACAGATCGGGGTGGTGAGTTCCTTGGAGCTGAGATGACGGCCTGGCTCAAGAAGCAGGGCATCCAGAGGGAGCTGACCACGGCTTACACCCCACAGTCCAACGGTGTAGCAGAACGGGCGAACCGGACAATTCTGGAGACAGCTAGGGCGCTGCTCATAGAATCTGGGCTGGGCAACTTGATGTGGCCCCATGCTGTTCGGCACGCTACCGTCGCTAGAAACAGGGTACTCACAAAGGTTGGGGATGACTCGTGGGTGCCGTTGGAGAGGTGGCTTGGGAGGAAGCCACCGGTGGACATGCTGAGGGTGTTCGGTTGCATGGCAGTCGCCCACGTCCCCAAGACCTACCGCAGTAAGTTGGGGGCGAGTGCAATCTGGTGTGTGCATTTGGGGCTGGCTGCTGAGAGCAAGGGATGGCTGCTGTGGGAACCTTCCAAGGGTGTGTTGTCTGACAGCAGGGATGTGAAGTTTGTTGAGGGCATGATGTATGGGAGCTGGGAGAAACAGCCGGAGGCCAGGGTGTCCCAGCAAATGGAGCAGATCACCATGCAGCTGGACCTGACTCCTAGTGTGTGGGAGGAGGGAGAGGAGGCAGCTGCAGAGGGTGGTGATAAAGAGAAGGTGCAGGAGGCACCTGCTGGTGGAGGTGATGGTGTGGAGACTAGCGGTAGCACTAGTAGAGCTGCTGGATCCGAGGGAGGAGAGCAGCAGCAGGGAGCTTCCATCTTGGGTTCCTCTGCGAGCTCGTCCTTTCTGCTTGTACTGTTCATAGCGCGTACAATGTTATGCCGAAGTGGTGGCGAGAATGGAGGTGTCAGTGGCAGCAGTGGAGGCGGAGGAAGCGGCGGCGGTGGCGGAGGGAGCGGAGGCGGCGGAGGTGGCGGAGGCGGCGGAGGTGGCGGAGGCGGCGGAGGTGGCGGAGGCGGCGGCAGCAGCGGTGGAGCTGGTCGCGGCTCTGCGCAGTGGAGTGGGTCCGGTGGTGGTCCGTGCCAGCAGCAGCAGCGCAGTCGTGAGACCCTGTCCCCTCAGCAGCTTTGTGAGTGGTACGCTACGCGTCAGCGCGGTGAGGGTACTGGTCCCTGCACCTACGTCCTCCGTACCGGCGACCGCGCTGGTGAGCAGTGCGGGGGCCCGCACTCCACCCAGCGCTGCTTCGGCCGACTGACGGACGCGTGGCATCACCAGTTCCCTGAGGCCTCTGAGATCCCTCGCTGGGGAGAGCTGTCTAGGGCGGGGGTTGCTATCTTTGATCTTGATTATGATGCTATTCTTGCTGCCATGTATGCTGTGTCTGATAGTGTTGAGGGTGACTATTACCTGTGTGTTCCGCCTGACCCGGGCATTGAGGCTGCTGCTCTAGGTGCTGGTGAGGCTGCTGCTCTAGGTGCTAGTGCGTTTGCTGCCCCAGGTGGAGGTGAGTCTGCTCTCTCAGGTACTACGTCGGCTCAGGCCTTACACACCTTCACCCTTGACTCGGGTGCTTCCCGCTCCTTATTTTGAGACCGCACCACGCTTACGCCGCTTAGTCAGCCGGTTGCGGTCTCCCTGGCCGACCCCTTTGGGGGTCCTGTCCTTGCTAGCTTCTCCACTGTCTTACTGTGCCCGGCAGCCCCCTCTGGCACACTGTCAGGTCTCTACCTCCCCTCGTTCTCTACAAACTTGGTGAGTGGAGCTGATCTACAAGATAGGTGGGTTGACCAGTTCACTCCTGCGAGTCAGCGGGTGACCCACTGCACGTGTGCTCGGACAGGCCGACACTTGGCCACGTTCACCCGTCGGCCGGGGTCGAGCCTGTACACACTTACTACTGAGTCTGCTCCGGGTGCTGAGTCTGGTCAGGTAGCTGCGTCGAGTCAGGTGTTTGCTGCAGCGTCCAGGTCTGGTCCTGAGTCTGCTCCCTGCTCGTGTCGTCTCCTGTCCCACCAGACCCTCCTTTGGCACCACCGCCTTGGTCACCCCTCCCTGCCTCGTCTCCGAGGCATGGCCTCCCGTGTCCTTGTCTCTGGTCTCCCCCGGTCTCTCCCTCCCCTACCTCCGGGGCCTGCCCCTACCTGCGTCCCTTGCGTCAAGGGGCGACAGTGCGCCGCCCCTCACTCCTCCGAGTTTCGTCCGACAGAGGCTCCGCTGCAGACTCTTCACATGGACGTGTGGGGCCCCGCCCGCGTCCGTGGCCAGGGGCACAAGCGTTACTTCCTGTTGGTGGTTAACGACTACTCGCGTTACACCACAGTCTTCCCCTTGCGCAGCAAGGGTGACGTCACTGAGGTGTTGATCGACTGGATCCGCGCAGCTCGTCTCCAGCTCAGAGAGAGTTTCGGCTCGGACTTTCCTGTTCTGCGTTTGCACTCTGACAGAGGCGGGGAGTTTTCCTCTGCCCATCTGGGAGCCTTCTGTCGAGCACAGGGCATCCGCCAGACCTTCACACTTCCGGCCTCTCCACAGCAAAATGGGATTGCTGAGCGCCGCATTGGCAAGGTCATGGACGTCGCTCGTACGTCCATGATCCATAAGGCTGCCCCCCATTTTCTGTGGCCGTTTGCGGTTCAGTACGCAGTGCATCAGCTCAACCTTCAGCCCCGGGTCTCCTTGCCAGAGACCTCCCCCACCTTGCGGTGGACCGGGAAGGTTGGCAATGCGTCTGCGTTTCGGGTCTGGGGATCTCGGGCGTTTGTCTGCGACTTGTCTGCGGACAAGGTGTCCCCCCGTGCTGTTCCCTGCGTCTTCCTTGGCTTCCCCCCTGACGCGTCTGGGTGGCAGTTTTACCACCCCACCTCGCGCCGTGTTCTGTCCTCCCAGGAGGTCACCTTTGACGAGTCGGTGCCTTACTACCGTCTCTTCCCCTACCGCACGGCGCCCCCCCCCCCCCGCCGCCGCTCTTCTTTACGCCAGGTCCTCCCCTGATAGACCCCTTCCCCCCTCAGGGTCCTGCCCCGTCAGGTGTGTCCCACGTAGACGTAGTCGAGCCTGTCGAGGTAGCTGCTGACTCTGGTGCTGTTAGAGGTGCTGAGCCTGCGGGTGTCGGGTCTGGAGGTGCTGAGCCTGGGGGTGCTGAGTCCAGGGGCGTGGATCCTGGGGATGCTGAGCCTGGGGGTGCTGAGTCTGGGGGTGCTGAGCTTGGGGTGCTGAGTTTGGGGGTGCTGAGCCTGGGGGTGCGGAGACTGGGGGTGCTGGGTCTGCTCGTGTGGCCTCTCGTGGTGCTTTCTCGAGGCGGGAGCCACTCTCTCCGCAGGAGTTGCGCGAGCTGTTTGCCTGGCGCTGGAGCCGTGCTGCTGAAGCTGGAGGTACTACTGTTGCTGCTGGTCCCGGAGGTGCTCGTACTCGCGGTGCTGGAGCTGCTGGTACTGGGGGTGCTGCTGGGGCTGCTGGAGTTGGTCCTGCTGGAGGTACTGCTGGAGCTGCTGGCAACACTGGAGCTGCCGGTTCTGCTGGAGCTGGAGCTGCCGGTTCTGCTGGAGCTGGAGCTGCTAGAGCTGGAGCTGTTGGGGGTGTTGGCGCTGGTCGTTCTGCTGGCGCTGGTGCGTCTGAGGGTGCTGGTGTTGGCGCTGTTGGAGTTGGAGGTGCTACTGGCGGTGGAGCTGCCGCTGGGAGTACTCGTGCTGTCCCTGCTGAGTCTGGAGGCACTGCGCGGCCGCGGCCGTACTTCGTTCCGCTCCTTGAGCAGGTTCTTGGTCTCTTGCTCGTCTTCTGTTCTCGGCTCCAGCTGTGAGGCTGAGATCTACGCGGGGGCCATGGCTGCACAAGAGCTACGCTGGCTCACCTACCTGCTGACTGACCTAGGAGAGCCGTCTCGTTCTTCTCCAGTTCTGTACGTAGACAACAAGGCCATGCTGGCCTTGTGTCAGGAGCACAGACTGGAGCACATAACGAAGCACATTGCTCTCCGCTACTTCCTTGCTCGTGAGCTGCAGCAGCGTGGTCAGCTGCGTCTTGCTTACGTGGCCTCTGAGGCCAACATTGTTGATATCTTTACCAAGGCATTTCCGCCTGGTGATCATCAGCGCTTCTGTACTATGCTAGGTCTTGTGCCTACTTGGCCTCACTTGCTCACTTCTTGACCTTGCTTGTACTGTGATCTTTCTATACCTGCACTTGCCTGTTTACCTTTATATATGATCTTGCATGTGAACTGGCCTTCTGGCCTTGCTCTTGTGCTCAGATTGTGTAGTGACGTTGTGATCCACCCTGAGCTTGCTTTGCTTTGCTTGACTGGTCTTATGACCTCTTGTTCTCCCCCACTTGCTTATCATATAGCTTGTCTAGGCTATAGTGGGGTAGACACTATGGGGTACAGTTTCCTAGGGTTTCCTACTTGTACCCAACCTTGTGCTAGTTCATTCATTCCTCGTTTCTTCACATCACAATGAATCGACGGACGTCGGTGTCTCTTCCATTCGGATTGAACGTCTCCGGTAGCCTGGGACGTGCCGCCTCAAGATTGACTGTAGCTTCTGTCGCTGCTGCTGCTGCTGCTGCTGCTACCGTCGCTGTTGCATTCGCTGCTACGTTCGCTACTGCTGTGGCGGCTACCAACTCGTTCGCGAGAAGCTCCTCTATTCGGTGGAGTGCCGCTCGTGTCTGGTCCAGGCCGGTGTGTAACTCCGTAATTTTTCGTATGGAATTATCACCGTTTTCCTCCATTTGGCAATTTACAGGAAGATTTGCGACGAAAATAAATGAATTTAGGTGCTGGGCATCTTACTGTGAGTTGAGTCGACTGTACAAATAACGAGCGCTGATTCTGTAGGTCGCGTAATTCTCCTATGATTGAAATCCGCGTCCGATCTCAGCCGTTAAGAAGAAATTCGATCCGACATTCCAAATTCCAACTTTTTTGGGCGAAATTTTCAGGGCCATTGAGATTCGAATCGATCCGACGGTTGAAATTCCAACTTTTTCGCCACTGGACCTGATGAGTGATCGAAAACCGGTTGGAGGGGGACGTTAGTGTCAGAATCCCAACCACTAGACCATTGGGATAAAAGGGCTTGTTGAGTAGCGGGTCAGTGCGCTTATAACCCCCCAGGCCAATTTGCCTGTAACCCTTTCCTAGGATCAATCGGGGATCACCAGTGGACCCCCGACACCCCCCCGCACTGGGATGCCCGAAGTGCATACACCGGGATTCGAACCCGAGACCTTCGCTCTGATACCATGTCAGAATCCCAGCCACTAGACCACTGGGATAAAAGGGCTTGTTAAGTAGCGGGTCAGTGCGCCCATAACCACCCAGGCCAATATGCCTGTAACCCTTTCCTAGGATCAATCGGGGATCACCAGTGGACCTTCGACAGTTAGAGAATAGCGCGGAACTGTTTTACGAACCCAAAAATCGGCGCTTTCCGTCGTCGCCCCTGCGGTTTTAAAGGCTAGGTTTTAGCGGTCGAAAAACTTCGCGTCTGAACAGGCTCTGATTACCAAGTGTGAGGATCTAGGATCGAGCTCCGAAAAGAGAGTTTGAATTGAATGAATGATCACCTGGGTACAAAGCGAGGCTATATATAGGCTCGACACAAGGCCCCGTAACCAGGTGTTACGCAAAGGTTCCGCGGGTCGCGAAGCGTCCCGTAACTGCCTTTGTCACTCAGTGAGGTGCCTTAACACCAGCGAGGACCTTGAGTGTCTTGCAGCCGCTGCGCCTCATCTCGTGTCCATGCTGCTTGCCCCTGAGGGAGACCCAGATGCACCAGACATCCCGACTCCGGGTTCTTACGCTAGTGCTATCGCGGGTCCCTACTCCTCTCAGTGGCAGACAGCCATGGACGCAGAGATGGCATCCTAGAAGTCCACATGCACTTACGTCGACGAGGTTCCCCCTCGTGGAGAGAGCATCGTCAATGGCAAGTGGATTTTCAGGGTGAAGCGGCCGCCAGGTTCTCCGCCTGTCTTCAAGGCTCGTTACGTTGCTTGAGGATTCACACAACGGGAGGGAGTCAACTTCTTGCAGACCTTCTCCCCCACCCTGAAGATGACCACTCTTCGGGTGCTGCTGCGCGTTGGCGCTCAACGGGACTACGAGCTTCACTCTCTTGACTTCAGCACAGCCTTTTTACAGGGCAGCGTGCATGAGGAGATCTGGCTGCGCCGCCCGCCTGGCTTCACTCGGTCGTTCCCTCGTGGTACCCAGCGCAGCCTCTTGCGGCCAGTCTACGGTCTCCGCTGTTGGTGTAAGGGCCTAATAAACTCAAGCTAATAAGACTTTATCAAACTTAAAACCTCTCCTCGGGGTCACCTCCAAGGGTCCTTGGGTGCCTGGTACAAGACCAGCCCCTATCCTCGGGTCCGAGTTTGTAGAGAGAGGGATCAAGAGGGACTAAGTCAAAACAGCAAGAGTACCTTGAACGTCGCGCAGCGTATCGTGCAGACCGTCGATCGGATTAAGCTGAGAATTTCCTATATCGAAGCTCACTCTAAGAGCTTTAAAATAAGCCAAGTTGCCTCGCGAAAAGTTCTGCCATTACGAAGTTATGGCTCGGACAGCGTTAGCCTAGCGTTGGAGTGCTAGCGTACTAGCGTTGACTCGGGTAGCATTCCGCCGTCGCACCGCGTAGAAACGAAATTCCAGCAAGGAAGGAATTTGCTTGAATCAATTTCACTATATTCAGGTACAAACAGAGAAGGAATAAATAGCTCTAGCTAGCAAGGACCTTGGGAATCAACCTGGGAACAACCAGGGATGATCCCAAATAATTCCAAGGAACAGAACCAACCTGGCTGGACAAAATAGCAGGTGGTAGGTTGGTGAACAACCTCTGGTTCTGTTTTTCCAACCTGGGAAAACAACAACCAGGTTCAGGTCCTAAAAACAGAACCTGTTTTGTCTTTGCCCAACCAGCCAAATGCTGGTTCCGCTGGTTTCCCCTGGCCCTGTAGCATGCAGATACAGACAAACAACATCCAACCTTCACCTAAATTGTACCCCTATAGTGCCTGCCCTGCTACACTATAGTCAACCAAACAAAACAGTACAATTTCGAGTTGGATAGAACTGAATCTGCGCAATCAAGTAAGTTGAACCGCAAAGATTCCATCTTGGGTTCCTTTGCGAGCTCGTCCTTTCTGCTTGTACTGTTCATAGCGCGTACAATGTTATGCCGAAGCGCACATTGTGCGAGTACCTGCAAATGCTTCAAGCAAAAATTGCGAAAGCAAACAAACACACGAACATACCATTCACGCGCAAATGCATTCGCACACGCATACTTGTGCAAACAGACGGCAGGATGTCGTGCAATGTGAATTTGCACCCAACACACTCCCCCTCAGCCTGCCGGCTGCATCCCCATCATTCCATACTAGTTCATGCTCATTCCACTCATGCGCACACAACGCCAATGAGGCTCATCCGCAAGCCTCTTGGTGAGGAAGTCTGCTGGCTGCTGGTGAGTCTTGATGTAGATCGGGTTCACCGTCCCCCTCTTCACCTCCTTACGCAGCCAGTGCCACTTGATACGCATGTGCTTATTCAGCCCATGAAGCACAGCGTTCCTGGCCATCCCAAGAGCTCCCTTGCTATCACATAACAGCGGCGTAGCAACCTTTTGCTCCTGGCCAATCTCCTCTAACAGCCTCCTCAGCCAAATCACCTCCTTCACCCCATGGAACATCGCCATGTACTCTGATTCCACAGAAGAGAGTGCTGTCTCCGTCTGCTTCTTTGACCTCCAACTAACCGGTCCTCCTCCAACTACGCAGATGTATCCTCCCACAGATGAGGAATCCTCCTTCTCAGAGGCCCACGTAGCATCAGTAAAGCAAGTGAGAAAAAGCTTGCCTTCTCCAAGCCTCTCCCCTTTCTCTTTCAGCACCTCAACCCCTTTCTGCTTCACCTGTGCAGATGCGGAGTATTGAACTCCAATGCTTGGGTGAGAGTTCAGATACTTCACCACACGCTCAGCTGCATCCACCTGCTCCTCTGATGGATTCTGCACTACCCTAGCCAGCTGCCCAACCGAGAAAGAGATGTCGGGTCTCGTGTGAAGTGCTGCATACAAGAGGCTGCCCACCAAGGACTGAAATTGCTGCTGCTCCTCGGCTTCAACCCCTTCATCCTCTGCAGCTTTCACAAGCTTGAATTCTGCTGGCAGGGGAGTTGCAACCTTGCGCTCATTCTCAATTCCGTACTTCTCCCCAAGCTCCTTGATGAACTTCTCCTGGTGCAGCTTCAACCACCTGTGATCCAGATCCCTCTCCACGTGCATCCCGAGGTAGTACTTTACCTCCCCAAGGTTCTTGCACTTGAAGTTCTCCATCAGCTACTGCTGCACCTTCTGGATCTCCTTCATGCTGCTGCTAAAGAGAAGAATGTCGTCCACATAGACCAGAAACAGCACCAGCTTCTCCCCCTCCCCCTTGAGAAAGAGGCTCTCATCACAGCTGCTGGTCCTGAATCCCATCTCCTCTAAAACAGCTGCCAACTTCTGGTACCAGCAGCGTGGCGCCTGCTTCAAGCCGTAGATGGACCTTTTCAGCTTGCACACCCTGCCCGTACCATCCTCATACCCAGGTGGCTGCGTCATGAACACCTCCTCCTCTAAAATACCGTTGAGGAATGCCGTTGATATGTCCATCTGGATAATGAACTTCCCACTAACGGCTGCATCTGCCAACAAGACACGAAGGGTAGGGGGTTTGGCAGTGGGAGCAAAGATCTCATTGAAGTCCCGCTTCTCCTTCTGCATAAACCCCTTAGCCACCAGCCTACTCTTG